TCATTGAAGGGACAGACCTGGGGGGGTGGGGGTGGGGGGGGGGCAGCTGACTCTGGCTCTAAAAAGGCAGAGCAAGCTGTCAAACAGGCTGCCAAGTGGATTCCGACGATATTGTCGGGATCCTTTCCGGCTGTGGCATGCAGCTCAGACCTGAGTGGAATGTATACTTTGTCCAATACAAATAACAAAAAAAAGTAGACTAGTGTGAACGAACCCTAAAAATGTCAGCGCTATAAAGTTAAATAAACAAAAATAAATCATGTTCTCTTGCTTTTCATTTCTTGTTTAGTTAGTTTGCTGATGTTGCAACTAATGTTCAGATATAATTTTTTTCAGGTCTTTGCACAAGTCTGCCCATCATCCAAGAAATGTATATTCATTTTGTTTTGTTTTTTTAAATCCAGGAGCTAATAGGCTAAAAATGTTTGTTTACCTAAAAATTTTGTTAAAAAAAGGAAAACAAATCATAACTGAATACAGAGTACTAAGTACTATCTAATAGGATATCTATCTGTCTGTGTGTCCCTATGTTGATCTGCTTGACACTTTCTCTTACACGCCATGTTTATTGAGGTTAGAGCTCAGCAGTCTGTTACTTTGTTTCTTTTTCACATTTGTATTTACATTGTTTTCCAAATTGCTTTCCAGCATTCCAGTGCAAGTTCAGTGGCTTCCACCCTGCCAAGCATTCAGTTTAGTCATTGCTGTCATCTATGTTTATGGCACTTTTGCTGCTTCTAAATGAAAGAGCCTCAGACAAGTCAAATGACCTGCCAGCTCCACAGAAAATTAGAACAAGGGTGAAGCATACAAAACAATAAAAGGCAGCCTGAGAAAAATGCAGTGCAAATATTTCCTGTAAAATGGGAGAATGTGTTTCTTTTAGGTATACACATCAATAAGAAATTTCTAATATGGGATATTGTATTTCATTATTTATTACAGGTATTCATATAGTGCTGTCAAGTTACACAGTGCCTTACATACTGTACATTCACATCAGCACCTGCCCTCAAGGAGCTTACCTAAGGTCCCTATCTCACATACATGCATACACACATAAAGGGCCTATTTAGACAGGAGCCACTTAACCTACCCACATGTCTTTGGAGTGAAGGAGGAAACCTACACATGCACAGGCAGATCATGCAAACTTTATGCAGATAGTGTCATGACCGGCATTCACATCGGGGAAACCTAGAAGCAGAAGTGCTAACCACTAATCCACTGTGCTGCCCATATCATTATAGATGATATTGTGTTCATATGTTTGCTGTATTGCATTTTAACACTCTTGTCAGTAAAGAGCAAAAGCGGGGCTGAAATATAATTTTAAAAAAAATGTTCGGGTCTTTCCAATGTGCTGGTAATGTGAGAAAAAACTTCCATGGTTGGTCTTGTAGCCTGTGTTGATGAGGAAGATCAAACTTCA